CCCCCCCCCGGATGGCAGCCTGCGGCAAGAGCAGCCGGGCTGATGGCCGAGTGCTGTGATGTGCCGAGTGTGGGCATTCAGGGCATTCCAAGACAGGACTGCTTTGCTGTCCCTCATCGAGTTAGACAAGCGAGCGGGGAACCCCTGAGAACTGTCTGTCCGGGGTGGAGGTCGGGACCCTTTAAGCACAGCCCTCGGCTAGCCTGATACAGCAGCTCCACTCTCTAAATCCTAATCTGATGCCGTGTTGGCACTGCTTCCGGCCATCCTTAACCTCGGTTCAGGGTCCACTCGATGTGGACATACTAGTTCGAATTAGCAAAACGCTAATTCGAACTAGTTTTTAGGTCTAGATGCACTAGTTCGAATTAGCTTAGTTTGAATTAACTAATTCGAATTAAGTTCGTTCGAATTAGTGCTGTAGTGTAGACGTACCCCCTGGTATTTCCTCCTCTCCTTGAGTAGCCTCGTTCTGCCCAACTTTGGTGTTGCCTGTTTGCTCTGCACCCTCCTGCAGGGCCCGGCACCGAGTTAGCCCTCCAGCCTTTGTCTGTGAGCACGTGGGCGTGTTGCGGGCACCCGTGGGGGATGGTTGGATTTCACGGTTCCTTGTTGGCCTTTCCCATCGTCTTTCCTAGCCTCCATATGAGGATTCTCCAGAGGCGGCCGCCTCTCAGTGCTGGGTGGGGAAAGCCTCTATTAGCCGCTGTTCCTCCCCCCTCCCCAGAAGCAGCTGCAGCTCAGCCCCAGGCATGGGCATCGGAGGTCTCTGCAAAGGGTTGACCTCCTGGGATGTCTCTTTGTGGTTCCAGGCTCAGAAAGGGACCCGCCCCGGAGCAGAAGGGCAGCGAGCAGGACGCCATGGAGGGGCAGGGCGCGGTGCTGGCCAAGCGGCTGGCTACCCTGCTCTCCGGCCTGCTGGAGTGCATGTGCTTTGCCGGTGTCATCTTCGGCTGGGCGTCGCTGGTGTTCGTGCTCAAGGACATGCATTACTTCGAGGAGCTGTGCGTGCCGGCGGCTAATGGCACGGGCAATGGCACGCAAGGCCCAGGTACGGCGGGGGAAATGCCGGAGGGGGGAGGGAGTGCCGGGGAGGGAGTGGGCAGTGCTGGAGAGGGGTGGGGCAGCAACGCAGAGGCTAGGAGGGGGATGGTGTCCATCTGGGCTGCAGCACCAGAAGCCTGAGGTGAATATGCAAATAGTGCAATGCCCTCATTTGCATATTTGGGGTGATGCATTGTCACGTTTGCAGATCCCTAAATAAAGATTCCTTTGCATTTTGGTTCCTGACCTTGAGCTCCCCCCCAGTGACGCCCGTTTCCCTCAGACTCCCTCTTGGGCTGTGGGTGGGAGAGAAGAGAGGACCTGTTAGGGGCATGGGTGAAGGGCATGAGGGAGCGTCTCCGGACTGCGGGCCTTGGGTGTGGGGAGGGAGGGGGTGTCAGGCCATGGGGACCGTGTCTGGGGGTGAATCTGTGTTGGGGCCCCATGTGGGTGTTGGGGGCTGGGTGAGAGGCCTGTGGGGGCGCCGGGCGGCGGGCTGTGGGTGGGAGAGAAGAGAGGACCTGTTAGGGGCATGGGTGAAGGGCATGAGGGAGCGTCTCCGGACTGCGGGCCTTGGGTGTGGGGAGGGAGGGGGTGTCAGGCCATGGGGACCGTGTCTGGGGGTGAATCTGTGTTGGGGCCCCATGTGGGTGTTGGGGGCTGGGTGAGAGGCCTGTGGGGGCGCCGGGCGGCGGGTTGCTGGCCATGTGAGTGGGGGGGAGGCCCAGGGACCCACCCCTGCTCCATTGAGACCAGCCCCCTGAACCCACCCCACTCCTACCCCCTCACCTCCATCCCCTGGGGACCCCTCCCCTGGAATCTAGGGCACTGGAGCGGGGGGATGGGGTCCTCATCTCCATGGGTCTGTTTGGGGTGTGTGTGGGATGGAGTCAGCAGGGAGAGAAAGTCCTCCCTCTCCACTCTCTCTTTGGCTGTTTCTCTTCCCCATTGACCAGCCCCCTGAACCCACCCCACTCCTACCCCCTCACCTCCATCCCCTGGGGACCCCTCCCCTGGAATCTAGGGCACTGGAGCGGGGGGATGGGGTCCTCATCTCCATGGGTCTGTTTGGGGTGTGTGTGGGATGGAGTCAGCAGGGAGAGAAAGTCCTCCCTCTCCACTCTCTCTTTGGCTGTTTCTCTTCCCCATTCTCCCCACAATGTGGCGATCAGGGTTACCAGGCCGGGGCCGCGCCTGGCCCATGTTATCCAGTGAGTCCAACCGCCTCTCCTTGCGCCACCCTGGCTGGGCCCACAGATCAGGGCCTGTAGCAGCCAGCCCCCCAGATTGCTACTGTCCCGCC